GTTATGTCCTATTTAAAAACTACTACATGCTCGACCCATGCATTCGAATGTTGTTTTTCATGTTGTTTGTGAATTTCATTTGTATTCAATCAGTCTGAAGGTTAAGGAGTTTTGGTTGTACACTTTTGATGTTTAAAAGTTTGTAGACAGCAACAGGGATCTAAAATATGTTAAGCCGGTAAATAATACAGTTCGCTCTCTAATTCTAGACCACCAATTGTCTACATTAATTGTTGATCTCGGGGGCTCGGTCTCCAATTAGAAACCTCTAAATGGAGACCACAGTATCGACTGGTGTTTAAAAAGCATAAGAGAAGAGGGTAATCAAATGAAAAAAATAGAAAAGACCAAAACTGCAAGTGGTCTTCACATTTTTGTTTTCTTTTTTGTGGGAGACATTCACTTTTATTTCAAGCAATGATTTTTATATCTTCCTTTACACAATAAACATTAATGTACCCTACAGTGTAATAATAATAGTGATAATGATAAAAATAATGATATAATGGTCTCCAAATTTAAAAACATTTCTTTTTATCTTAAAATAATTCAATACCATTTATTTTTTCCTTTGAATTCGATTCTGTGTTCGGTTTCAGAATGACTAAATCATTAATGTAGTCAAGTCTTTTAGCATCTGAAACCAATTGAATCATTAATGTAGGTACTACTAATATAATGTAACAACTGGAACCAAATTTTGTATATTATGCATTACAACAATATCTTGAATCTTTTTTATCTTGCGTGGGAAAACATCTTCTTCTTCTTCTTCTTCTTCTTCTTCTTCTTCTTCTTCTTCTTCTTCTTCTTCTTCTTCTTCTTCTTCTTCTTCTTCTTCTTCTTCTTCTTCTTCTTCTTCTTCTTCTTTTTCTTCTTCTTCTTCTTCTTCTTCTTCTTCTTCTTCTTTTTTTTCTTGAGCGTGAACTTCAAATTGAAGGCTTCGGCGCGAGCTCCTACCGCAGATGGGAGTCTCATCCGGAAGTAGGGAGAAGTACAGTAAATAAAAGTTGAATAAAAGAATAAATAGAATACAATAAATACCTGTAGCCCAAGGCGGGGCCCTTGCAGGTGATTCACGGGCCGGAGAACCAGGAGCTCATCTTGGGCAAGGCCGCTAAATTCCTTGGGTAAAGCCATTAGCCTATACTAATGAACCTTACCAGATTACCCATAGCCCTACCGCCTAGCAAAATATACTGCAATAAAAACCCCATGGCTATATGAAATACAATACCGATAATCAATAATCACATGATGAATATATTACAATAATAATATTAACAGTAAAGCAATATTAAAAATACAAATTTCATCAAGCGAAGGACTGAGAAGGGTGTGTTAATACTTTGTTTAGAAATGCTTGAGACCATAGACACTGATGGAATTTCAATCGAATATTAATTTGTTTTGGAGCAGGCCAACGTAACTGCTCTCTTTCTGGATTTTCTTTTCTTCTCTCTTGTTTTTTTTCTTTCTATTTTGGATGGTAGGACTATCCCCGTACTCCCTGGATCCGCCCATGATAACGATTGATTGAACAATTGTTTTATAATGCTTATTTATATTGGCAAAGCTTCATTGGAACTTTCATGATTAAGCATGTAATATGCAAGATAAGGAAATGCACATACGAAAAATGTGTGTATAAAATAATTGTTGATTATATTGTTAGATAGTCACACGATTTTATTTCATATTTTTATATTCATAATTATTTTTACTTCACTCAACTGTTTTGTACATTATTAAATCAAATTGACATTCCTTTCTCTATTTTTGTATTAATCAAATGTTATGTCAACTTTGTAAATTTTTAAATTTTAAAATATTAATTGTAATTTTAATGTTTTTTCTTAATGATCTTTTTAGGAACAAATTTTATCGTAATTTTGTTTGTCTTGAATTTTCATTGCTCCCGAGCGTGTGGTCTTTTGTGATAGTTGCAATTTTCATCTTTGAAATTTTTATATTGAATACTTTTTGCATGTTTATATACTGTTGTTGTGCTTAGTTTTGTGAATGTTGTTTGTCTTTGTTTAATTTTGTTAGATTGACGCAATTCAGTTCATACTGCAATGTCAATTTTTGTTGTTTTTAATAATAAACCAGAATGAATGAATGAATGAACGATATTTTTGACATGGTCTACTTTATTGATATGCAGTAACGTATCTAGCCTTGAAATAGGGGAGAGCGCGAAGGTCAAATGGAGAAGCTCGATGATTAGGTGAGGGGCTCTTTCGTAAAATAAGTTGATTTTTAAGGGAGACTGTATGGGGGCGCGATTTTGTTTTAGTTTTTTTTTTGGAGGGGGGGAGATGTTGCCCCCGCACACCTTCGAGGTACGCCCCTGCTGTTATTCAAGGGGCCCCCAACATGTTTTCGCCCCCGGGCCCCATGACTCGTTACACCACTGAGCGAATTATGGTCTTAATCACTTACTAATTAGCATACCTGTTTCTTCCTATAAACAGTCACATCATCTATGGTCAATGTACTTTGTTATTTTTTTACTCAGAGCCCAGAACCTGAAGATTGAGGTTCTCTCATGAAACAGTCTGTAGTACAATAATATAAAATTTATAGTATAATACATACTCCAAGTATCGAAATGCACGCCATCGTGTTGGGATTCAATATTTGGACATTAAATATGTCATCTCATCATAATGATGACATAATTAATGTCGAAACATTGAATCCCGACACGATGGCGTGCATTTCGATACTTGGAGTATGTATTATACTATCTTATCTGAGATTAATCAGTGGACACTTCGATGAAGTTTTATTTGTTTTAGGTCTAAGGCCAAAGCTATGCCAGGCAGCGACCGTGATCACCCATTAAGGAGCCAGATATTGGAAGGCAAGCATCTTATCCACCAAGCTATTCAATACACTCACTGTATGCACAATACATACGGTTTTAACTATAGATAAAATGTGAATAAGATAAGCTAATTGGCATAAATAGATACATATTCGTATACTTTCTTTCCGCTTGTTAATTTACATATTGAATTATTGTTAAAATACATCCATTAGGTTTAAGAATCCTTTATTACCATTTTCTGTATATTGGCAATATCGGCAACATCAACCGATATTTCATATTATTTATGGATGATAGACTGTAAACCAATGTTCCAAAATGAATTAAGAGATTAGTTTACAAATTTATGTATTATACATAACACAATGCAATTGAAGAAAATAATGTTATTGTATTTATTTTGTGTACATGATTTAGCTACATTTGCTCGATATTCATTTTAAAAACAGTAAATGAAATTGGTTATTCTAACAATTTCACATAGTTATTCATATTTCAGACCAACCGTTGTATACAAAATCATCGTCAAAATTAATTGAGCATTATTTATTTGATTACACTATAGTCAAACAAAGTAGTATCTGCTACAACTATTTTAAAATGTATTTATTTTTATTTATTGACGTCTTAAAAATTACGTTAATCTCATTGTAAGTACTGCTTTCTACAGGAGCCTTGAAAATATGCTAATTAATATAAAGTACAATCAAGGTAAAGCAAAAAACACAAAGTAAGTACTTACACGAGTTCAGACCTGTTTATGCGCTATAGCAAATTATTATATAGATTACATTACACCAAATCACAAAAGCTACCGAGTTAAGACATGTAGTCTACAACAGATGAAAACAACTTAATTTGAAATATTCATTTTCAGCTGGCACTTAAATACATTAAAATTGTTGGTAACCAAACATTTTATGCTATAACTTTGCTCAGTTTTGACCGTCTAACACAAGTGCGTCAAATCACGTTCACAGAAATGCGAAGCTTTATTTGCATAGTTCTTGTTACGGTGCCCGTAATGCCAGGTAGGAAATACATATTTTTACAACTTTAGATGTTGTGCTATCAAAAAGATTTTTCTCTTCTAAAAAAAGTTTAGATCTCTTTTTATTGAGGTTTAGATATGCAAATGCAACCATTATTCTTTACATTCATTGTTTATTCTATAAAATTGTAGACATCTGTAGTTGTAAAGGCGGTATGAAATATGATTTCAATGACTCCTTTATACTAAAAATACTCCGACGTAGGTAGGAAAAATGCATGTTGCTTTAATAAGCTGAGTACCGGTATGTATATCTTAATACTAAAACAATGTTGACTCTAAGTGTCAACATTTTGTGCTATACTCATTTTCTCACTCATGGTAGTTCATAATACTTGTTGAATTCAGGTCTAAAATAAACAAACGGTTATGTGCCTCTACTTAAAAATCAATACCAGTAAAAGTCCATAAATGATGACATTAGACATTAGATCACTTTATTCGTCATGATTTTAAAATATAATCTCATGTAAACTGTTTTCCTTGGCAGGGAAAAAACACCAAGAATGAAAAAATATACATCAAGAATATACAATTATAACAACTAAAAACGATGATGACAAAACCATCCAACACAGACGACATCCCCATCATCAAACCACCAATCCAGGGAGGTTTAAAAAAAAGTTTTATACTCCAATATTCTTAATAGGTCTATTATTTAGGGTCTGTATTTACTCTCTGTAAAGCATATCAACGCATTCAGTTAATTTTTGAAATCGTTATAGAGATGCTCTAATCATAAATAGTAACGAGGATGAGTTAGTTATCTTAAAATGTGACGTCATAATTGCCTGTGTTGTTTAAATTTTCGTTAAAACTGCAGTCTAAACTGGGCAATTGGATTTTGCTAACCGCCCGCAAGATCTTTAATTGAGTCTGTGATGATAATATCAAGGCGTATTCTTGCTTTGTATTATGTGATGATCTAAGAAGGTGAGGAGTAAATTTAGATTAGAAGGAGATTAGAGGCAAGACCATTGAGTGCCTGAATGTTATAAGAAATATCTTGAAAATTATGCGTTCATTGATTTCAATGTAGTTTTATAAGAACAGGGGATACGTTGTTCTTGGTAAATGTAAAAATTCCTGCAGCTGTGTTCTGGACAAGCTGAAGGTGATGAAGATGTTTATATGACAAGCCATAGAGAAGTGCCTTACAATACAAGACTGACTTCAAGACAAAACTGAGTAAACAAGCTTTGTGGATGTATCAATAGATAAATATTTGCGGATGTGCCTGATCTTTCCTAACTGGAAATGGATTGAGCTGCGGCAGGTTGTAGAAATATGCCGAGTAAAGTGATTATCGAAAACTATGCCAATGATTCTACCAAAAGTCAATTGTGGAAACCTGAGAAATTCCAACGTAATTTTGATTGGTCTGAATTGCAGAACGATCAAATTTTGACTTAATGAGAAGAACCTCATATTTTACATTGTTCAGATAAAGTTTATTTGCAGTAAGTCAGATAGTGTTAGATAGCCTATTAACCATACATTACTGATTGAAATGTAGATGTATTTTTTTTAAAGAAATGTAAAACTGTGTGGCATCAGCATATTAATGGAAAAATAAGGTGTCTCTAATAAGCGAATTGTAGAGAGAAAAGAGCAATGTCCCGAAAATTAACCCTTTAGGGCACGCCACAGCATAGTGGTTTAGGGGTAGATTGAATTGCTGGAGTGAGACGAACTGGTACCGCCCTGCTGGACAAATTATCTGAACTACTGAATAACGTTCTCACAAAGCCTAGATTAATGAGCGGTTGCGCAGTAAAGGTAGAATGGTCAACAGTATCACAGGAAGCGGTTAAGTCAAGCATGACAAGAAGTACAGCATTACCAAAATCCAGAATATCATCATGAATTTTGAGTAGGGCTGTTTTACCAGGGAACAGGTGGAATTTCACTGTTCCCTGGTTTTACAGTGCTATCGATTTTCCGGTAACCAGATTGAAATGGCTCAAGTAATGAGTTACATTACTTGTTAAGTAATCTTCGATATGTAAAGCAACGATTTTTTTTCAATAATTCAAAATTAAAGTAATACAAGCAATTAACATCAATTGATTGTTTCTTGAGGATATGTCTAATTGCTGCAGTTTTTATAGAATCGCAAAATGTCCCATATTTTAAGGAGAAGCATTTATAATGTTACAAATAAAGTCAAGAAAACTCGGCAAGAACTTTCTTGACAAGAATAGTGATGGAGGTATACTGAGAATGCTGGTTTTGACGGCGAGTCATCTGGTAATTTTAGTTGGTGACCTAACCATAATCATTTGTCTCTTCCTAATTTCTTCCAACCATGTTTCATCACTGGTTCTTTTGTAGAGTTTTGGAATTTAAGCGGCCAATTGATTTTCAAGATTCTTCTTAGTAAATTTCTTTGAAACCAATCTATTCTAAAATTTGAGCGACCACAGTCGGCAGTTGTACATAATCTTGACGAATGAATTATAATCTAATACAAGTACGGGGAGATTTATCTTGTTGCTTTGAAGGTTATTTTCATATTGGTTCGAAACTGATATAGCCAGCCGTTTCCTCCTGTGACACATAATATGATATATGAATGACTTAATAAGGCAAAAAAAAAAAAAAATTAAAATAAAAAAAAAAATTCTGGTGTTGGCCACGTTTTGGGAAAAATCCAAATGGGTAGTCGGTAGGAATGCCTTTTTAGCTCATTAAAAAAATATGTATCGTTGTAAAAAAAAAAATTATAAAATGCCGAACCTCAATTTCGTACATTTTGGGTCGGTCGGGCGTATGGCCAACAGAATACTTTTTTTATTTGGCCTAATGAATCAACCAACAAAGACGTACGCATGGATTTTAATTATTAATTCTTACGTTTTACTGTCTTTATAGTTCGAGTAGAAGCACTTAATAACGAAGCTAGATTGATAGAGGACCTACTGAATAACTACCCTAAGACGAAATCTGCTAGGCCGGTCTTAAATGACTCTGATGTTGTCGTCGTGACGTATGGCTACATTGTAACTCAAATCGTTGAACTGGTGAGTGATACATATTGCTTTCTGGCAACAGTAACATTACAAGCTTGTAGTGAAAAATAGTTGTCAATATTGTTTAACCTAACGTGGTCGAAGAATGGATAACAATGGTCTACAGAAAACTCAAGCAGTAGTCTTAATTAGTCAGGCTTATACACTACAGTAACCTACGGAATATGCAGATAAATATTGAATAGAATTTCTGTCATAATTTGTAACCAAAATAGTTTTTTATAGTTTTAATAGTGTAACCAACAATCTTCACATGCAGGCCTAAATAATTAATGAAAAAGCCGTTTAATTATTGTACAACCAGGCAAATTCTATGCTGAAAAGGTTTTTAGGCTACAGCGGAAACATCAAGTTCTGCCTTTTATAATCCGGAAACATCAGAAAAGTCAGGGTTGGCCGACGTATTCTTGCTTCCGAAGAAACCAAATTATAAGCAAGCACCTTTATATGAGTACGAATACGATCAACTTTATTTCAATTTGCATAGAATATTAACCTTAACAATAATTCATAATGAAATGATGGTATCACCTTGATCTATATTTTAGTAATCATGCACCTTGATTATTCAAACATTTGTAAACAAATTTAGTGTACTCGCAACCAAATTTTGATTTGATTGCTGGATTATTATAGCCACTTGATATAGGCAATCAGATGCCATTAAAATGTAGCTAATACATTTCTTTATCCATTGTTCAGGGTCCAGGGATGGAATCTCGCGTTAAACTAAAAATAGGCTTAAACTGGTGACGTCATACACAAACACTTTTCACAGTGGCTCGTTCCCGTACGAGATAGCGAAAGCTCTCTAATTCACTTCTTGTTTCTCATTCGTCAACACCACCCAGCATCTCAATCGTAATTATTATCATTGTGTGTTTCAGGACGAACGACGTCAGTTTATAACTGTAAACGGATGGCTTTACATGGTGAGTCTATTATCTAGGCGATAGCTCCTTTATTCGTTTTTCCATGGTTTTGCTAAGCTACAAAATATGGAATAATGATTTTGTTATAGAGATGTTGAATGTACTTACCTTGTTTTTAAATTATATATTAGAGTTATACAATGATTACGAAATTACTCGGTGTAATGTAAACATCTTGTACATGTTCCAAAACAACAGTTAGCAAAAGCTACTTACGACAACATAGTCTTGGCTACTCCTAGAATTAAGCTGTGTTATGAGTTTGCTATTTGTTGTTTTGAGAGTACTAGATACTCATCGTGGTTTAAATTGAATAGCTCTTCTCACAGACGGCCAAGACAAATCGATGTCGCTCCAGTACGAATTGAGCGTTTTAGAAATAGTGCGGTTCATTTCCTGACAAATTTGATTAATTATAAGCAGAAAGTCATTATTTGTGACTCTCCTGTCCTGTGAAATGTTGATTTTAAAACTTCATGACAAAATGAAATTCAGCCGTGAGACTGCGAATTGTTCGAAGTTTCAACAATGTTCATAAACGTACCGTAATAATCGATGCCAGAGAGCATTAAAATAAACTCATCTGAAGAACCCGTAACATCTTATTTTTTATCTGTATGCCACCCTGACACTTGCACGATTTTCGTTCCCGCACTGGCGCGCACTTCAGCGTGCCAATAGGCTCTTTTCGATTTTCACGTTAACATAGTGGACGTCTTGACATGATGTCATTTTCAAGCACTGCGCATGCGCGATCGTCAACACCTCGTTCACCATTAGATTTGAGAACGTGTTTATTCCGGTTTCCACCGTCGACCCAAATCTACTCGCCCTGTTGACTGTATGACGTCATTTTTTCAAGATGGGCGATACCTGACCCGCTGAAAGGATCTTACTAGGCCTAAGCAGAGGCCTAATTCTATGCAATTTTCAAGTAATTTCATCTCTGATATTGAACAAGTTTACAGTTTACAAGGCGATTAGCATTGTACAAAAGCACAAACTTTTCATCGTCAAGCACATTGTTGAAATATCTGAACAGAATCGCTTCTCGGACTCAATAAAGATTCGCTATGATGGAATGGCATGATCCTTGCTCAAAAAGTCATCATGTTGACTCCTTTATGGAAGGCAAACGCCGCCAAAAATACAATTACAAACACACAACGTACTAGCACAAACACACAACGTGTTAGCACAAACACGCAACGTACTAACTCAAACACACAACGTAGGCCAACACCGCCAAAAATACATTTACAAACACACAACATACTAACTCAAGCACACAACGTACTACGATGCAGGCCACAACCGCCAAAAATACATTTACAAACACACAACGTACTAACTCAAGCACACAACGTACTACGACGCAGGCCACAACCGCCAAAAATACATTTACAAACACACAACGTACTAACTCAAGCAC